CCCCCCCCCCCCCATGAAGAGCTTCGTACCTGGGGGCTTCTCTATCAAGAGTGACTTCAACGTCGAGAAGGCCTCTAGACAATAGGACCGAGATGAGGGAGTATAGAGATACATATGCTCTATTACTACGGAAACTCTACCCATAGTTCGAGTAGACTATAACTGGAAGGGTAAGGATGTGGTCGTCCCCGGGCCCAATGACGACATCACTATTCACATGGAGGGATATTTAAGTGTTTACACTTACCCCTTCACGCTAGGCCCAGTGGACCCCGTAGTCCTTGTTCTCTGCGAAAGCGATGAGGTGTGCCTTGGGCAAATCCACCCGTCCTTTTGGAGGATCATGATCCTCTTACGTCATTTTGTGAACAATATTGAAGCCCCTAGATTTAACCTCGACCACCTACTTCGCCTATAAAGTCCCAGAATCTTTCGAGGGGAGCTGATCAAGTTTTCCCCTTGAGCAAGAAAGGCTCCATTCTTGAGCATCCATGAGGACCGAGATCGAGGATGGCAGGAGAGGTTCGTTCAACCAAAGACCTCATCCCTTCCGAGTTTTTCCCTGAGAAGTGGAACGTATCCTGTAAGTACTTTCCTTCTCGAGTATTTGTCATTTCTTTTTGTTCTTCCTCTCATTGCTTATTTTTGTCGTCGTGTAGCTGTTGCCCAAGTTCCTAGTGCAGTTCCTTGCTTCAAGGAGTGGATTGAGGGGATTTGGAAACAGATTCCATATTTCGAGCGCGCGTGGCACAAGTTCTCGAAGGGCAAATGGGAGGCCCATTCCCATGGTAAGATCCTTTTCCGAATAGTTACTTTTTTACATTTAGCTTACGTGTTGATAAGTCTCCTTTTTTTCTTACAAGTTTGCCCAAGACCACCAAACTCAGGCCATTGTGTGAGGACAAGGATCCGTCCTTGCTTGCCGAACCCTCCACTTCGGGACAGCCTAGGGCTGTCGCAAAGGAGGAGAAGATGAAGAAGAAAAGAAAGTCCTCGGGTTCCCCGGATGCCGAGGCAAAGAAGAAGAAGGTGACTATCCAGGTCCGGAAAATCAAAACGAGCGCCAAGTCCAAGACGGCGACCTTTTTATTGCTCATGGGTCGATCCTTAATGAGGGGGAGTAGGTAGCACTCGGGAAAGCCGACCACGAGGTAGATCCTCCTCTAGCTCGGGAACCAGAGGGAGAGAGGGAGGACGCGGCCTCTCGGGAAGCCCCTCCTGTCCCCATAGAGGTAGCTGGTGTCATTGACATCGTGGAAACACCCTCATACATAGAGTCCAGGCTCGAAGAGGCCCAAGCAGGCAAAGAAAAGTCAAGCGAGATGGCATAGGGACCAGACGACGCCCTCAACACGTCCTTCGATGGCATAGATTTGTGCGCACTAGAGGACTTTTCTGGGCTTGGTCACCTGGAGGTCCCAAAAAAGGATGTACCATCGGGAGGGGACTAGCCGAGTTCGAGCCCAAAACCAGTGAAGAAATTCCCCGCTCGGAGTGTGAACCCCGAGCACAAGAGGACGGCCATTCTTACAATCCCAATGGACGCCCGGGTCTTGTACGCTCTGGTGGGCGTAGCTAGATACCTTCGATGCCTGGTGACCGAGGAGGACCAGGAAAAGATGAACGAAGTGGGCACGTCGAGTCTCCTCAATGTCGTACCCCTTTGTGAACCTTGTTTAGGTTTAGACTTACTATAATAACATCACTGTTTTTTCAGGCTTTATTGCTTCATCATGAAATCTTCCTCCGGTTCCACTTAGAGAATATCCAGCTTGAGTTCGAGATCAAAGAGCAAGTTAGGAGGAAGGACATGTACATGGCTCTTAGTGAGCAGCAGGATGAGACCCTCAAGGACCTCCCAATTTTCTAGGCAAAGCTGGAAAAAGCCTAGAAGGAGACCTCGACCTTGAAGTGGGAACATGCCAAACTGGTAAACATCTTTGAGGCTAAAAACGAGCAGCTAGTCGTGGTGACTAACAACACAACTTCGCAGGTCCAAGAGAAGATAGACTGTATACAGTAAAAATTAGAGGGTCCGATTTTATGATCACTATGA